ACACTTCAAGATAGGCTTTGACAATTATAGATTTTTCTGGATTTCCCGGGGATCCCATCACCAGATCTTGATGATTACAGGACCATTCGGGAAGTCTACCTGTTTCGAAGAAAGAAAAGAAACAAGAATTATCAGAATAAGTTCAAGCATTCTCGAGAAATCGGTTAACATACAAGGATAAAAAAATATGATCGAATTGATAACTTCCTCTTTTGAAGTCGGTTAAAAAGCGTGATTTTGGTACCTTAAATAGCTCCTTAGCATTCTATTATTCAAAAATATTTTCACTTTCTACGTAAATGAAGAGGCGGGTGAAAATTTATCGTTATGCCAAAGTAGCTATTCCACGCGGACGAAGTCGCGGGCAAAAGCATATAAATACAAATATTAAATTATCTATTAAAATATCCAAATTGCCTAAATGTTGCAAACATAACATTAAGTCAAAATAAAAACAAGTCAATTATGCCTGACAAGATAAATACTTAACAAAATATAATTATGAAAATAAATAAATAACATTATTGAAGAGGTGTTTTAATTATGGTCTAATATTAAAAAAGTAGACAAATTCATACAAAAAATCTGCGTACTTTCAATTTCATTTGTACAAAAAAATACTAATACATTATTCAAAGTTTCCCCACGTTTTTCCATCCCTCTAGCCCCAAGCTACGGCATTATGACGTCATCTCTGATGCCTAAGACATGAATGCCGGTTGCGTAACATTCACGACAAAAGCGCATTACGTAACAGCCAGAAATCTTCACTGGAGAATCGCAGCCTTATTCTCGATTGTTAAGACATAAATTAGTTTAACGTGTCCGAAAATAAAACATAGTTATTCGGTACTTGGCTCATGACAATGTACTATTTCGATCAGCCTCATTCACGTCTGTCTAGCCCTTGATCTAAATTTAATTAGGAACATAATGTTCGCGGTGCCTTGTTTGTCTGAGTACATATCGCGAGCAGCAAGCAGCTGTTAAATCATATTGGTACTGGTATTTGGGGCGCGCTGTCTGCAAAACTGCATTGAACAGAATCTAGTTTATAGAGCCATTGGTGTAGGATCGCCAAACGTTTTAACCTGCTTTTTTGAGCTTGGTTTTTTTATTTATTGCTTTTATGGGTGGATGAGCTCATAGCCCACCTGGTGTTAAGTGGTTACTGGAGCCCATAGACATATACAACGTAAATGCGCCACCCACCTTGAGATAAGTTCTAAGGTCTCAAGTATAGTTACAACGGCTGCCCCACCCTTCAAACCGATATGCATTACTGCTTCACAGCAGAAATATTCAGGGTGGTGGTACCTACCCGTGCGGACTCACAAGAGGTCCTACCACCAGTATGTTTGTTTTTGTGTAATGGAATTTTCAAACGTCATTTTCGTTAGCAGTAACTTGAAATATTTCATAGGCATCAATGACCAACGACAATAGTATCTATACTAATATTATAAAGAGGAAAGATTTGTTTGTTTGTTTTGAATAGGCTCCGAAACTACTGGACCGATTTGAAAAATTATTTTTCCATTAGAAGCCGACATTGTCCCTGATGAACATAGGCTACTTTTTTAAATTTTTAAATTTTTTTGATTTCATTTGTGTTTTAATGTTTCCGAAGCGAAACGAGGGCGGGTCGCTAGTAATTTTATAATTCGCTCCAATGTTCTGACCAGTATGAAAGGAATATTTTTTTTTTATTAATTGTTATTTCTGTTTAGTATTTAAGCTTTTTAAATTATTATAAATATATTATTTTAACTCGTAGATCATTTCCTATGTTTTTTCTTTTTAACGTAAGCCATAAGTTGTTTTTATTTGAGCAGTTTTGTAAGCTTTTGGAGTACTAACAAAAGCTCATTCAGTTCCTAGTCGCAGCCAAGGCATAATGTTCATTTTTTTCTCTTCACCACAATCCTGCTTGTTTTTGCGGCTAATCAATCATGCGTTCTTGTTTGAAGGATAAAACAGGCTGTATAAAATACAATTGATAGTTCGACCTCATGCCTCAAGGCGATTTGCGCCATTCGGGCTATAATTAACGTCTATGGGGTCTTCGTCATCATCATCGACATCAGGTAAGCTGTGACTAGTACATCCATATGTCATGCAAATTAAGGACCTCTTGCAAATCGATAGACCACCTTGCCGGATTGCGACAAATCGTATCCTACATCCATATTTGTATCTGCTAGAGTTCTTCATTAGTTCGTGCGAGGATGACATATGCAGAAGAATCGGAATGGAAAAGGGGGCCACGTTGCAACCGGCTATGGAGTGTTTCCCGAGCGCTATGACATGTCCTTCTTCGAACGAGGCTTATGGAGAGTATTAAGCGGGAGGCAGCGGCTTGGCTCTGCCCCTGGCATTGCTGAAGTCCATGGGCGACGCTAACTACTCACCATCAGGTGGGCCGTGTGCTTGTCTGCCTAAAAGGGCAATAAAAAAAACTTTATAATATGTGGATGGCCAAAACGTCTAAAGTAAGACCAGTTTTGTAAGCATTCTGGTGTTCTCCTTACGTGGAGGCGGTCACCACCGTCTGCGTTGAGGAAACCAAATCGAAGAGGAGGCGAGAGTTCTTCGTTCTGCTAACTGTATCAAATGAATATTTGTATTTTGTTTGAGTACTTCTTGAGCTTCGCGCATTATTTATCCAGTTACTTCGCATCCGTTTCTGGAATAGCATTATTAATGTATTCGTATTGACATGTGAACAGTTACCATTCTTCTTCTTACTCGTTTGCATCCTTAGTGTGGTCGGGGTCATCAGTTTGGGTGGTGGTGCGCTTCACAAGACGTCGCATACCGGGGAGTTTCTGGTGCACTCGTTGACGGGACCCTTTAGAGCTGCCTTTATTTGGTCGGTCAAGTTACCATGAATTGAATTGAATTGAATAGCCTTTTATGGAGATCCATATTACAATTATGATATAACTAAATATAATATAAAGAAAACTAAAATTTTATGTAAACCTTAATCTAATTTTTCTTATTTTCTGCAAAAATAAATGCTTATTTTCTCAAAAAGTTAGCTATTTTGTTTCAATATATCCTTGTACTTAACAGAGTAACAGACAGCTGTTATTCTGAGGTTTTTTTTTAAGTTTATCGATTTTTGAAAGGCCATTGACAACGAAACCTTTGAAAGTAAAACTGAAAAATGTTTTTAAAATTAATTCACTGACAGCGTGTCAAAAGATACAGATCGAGGTACTCTGTCACTGACAATGAGTAAAACTCTAATGTTCAATTTAGCATGTTAAGGGTTGAAGTTCAAGATATATTTTAAGTAGAAACAAGAATACTTTTGTGTAATGGACCGAGTAAGTGAATCATTGCAATTTAAATTACCTTGTTAACCTTATTCAGTGTTCGATTTGTGCAAAACGCTTATAAATGGGAAGGCAACACGTCCAGCCCACTTAACAAATCCATCTGGGAACTACCTTTGGCAAAATCGTAAATCTAACCTCCTCCTCCGTGCGTCGTATTCCTCAGTTCTGAGGGTAGTGACCTTTACTAAGCACTTTTGTTAGAACTATATTCCTCCATTCACTTCTGTCCTCCGCGCAGTGGATAGCGACATTGATGCTGGATTCCAAAGTCGTCTTAATCTGATCGGACCAGCGCATGGGACCACGCCCCCTAGACCTCTTTCCTTCCAAACTAAAAAAGATCTCTCTCTTCCCAGCTATTTAACCCACATGGTGGTGAGGTTAGTTTTCCTCACTTTACTGCTCCACTTCGCTCTGTCTTCGACATTGTCGTCAGCAACATTGCATTCCGTTTTGTCCTTCAGCACTACATCATTCCACCTTGTCTTGGATCTACCTTTAGGTCTCCGACCGGAAAGGTCAAGCAGTAGTGCCAAATTTCCGACGTAGTCAGGTGGTAATAACTACAAAAGATCAGGTCACTAAACTAAACGCGAAATTTTGAAATTAAGACAAACGATTGACGTTCGGAACATCGGTCTGCTAAGTAAAAAACATCAACTCAGTAGGGTACCTCGCTTCGTTGAACAAACACTAGCGGCTGAAGTGTCTTGGAGACTTTGTGGAGTAGCTGGTTTGGTTTTCGGAGTTGGTTCCCATTATGCACTACAGCTTGGCTATCTATCTCGAAAATACGAACTTCATAGCTTCCTATAATCCGGAGACACCAAGAATGTCTAATCAATCAGCATTACTGCGCGAGAAGGTTGAAATTTTTGAACTTATCTCAGAATCGGATGATAGTTCAAGATAATGCGTAGATTTTTAAACACATTCTATAATGCTCATATTACTTACTTTAACTTATCCGACAAATATAAAAAAGAGCTACCCACAAATAACTTAAACGGTTAAGTGATAATGTGTATATTATAAACGTGTATCAAAAATCTAAATCTCGCAACAAAATAACATAATCATATGGTCTTTATTAATGCAATTATTATAAAAATAAATCAAAACAACTGCTTGTTTTTGAACCTCTGAGCCTACGGAAATACTTCAGTTATCTCTGTATTTTGCGAGTCTTGCGAGTCCGTACGAGTAGGTACCACCACCCCGCCTATTTCTGTCGTGAAGCAGTAATGCGTTTCGCTTTGAAGGGTGGGGCAGCCGTTATAACTATACTGAGACTTTAGAATTCATATCTCAAAGTAAGTGGCGGCATTTTTTGCACGTATTATGTGACTTTGGGATGAACAGCCATCCTCGGCGTTGCCTGAACGCTTTGCCTTGTCTTTTTTGCAAATGAGGCTTTCAAAGAGTACCTACTCAACGACTTGTCTGGCATCGCTGACGTGCTGCTGCATGAGCGACGATAACCACTCGGGTGGACCGTATGCTCGTCCGGCTAAGAAGCCAAAAGTAGGAAAAAAATCTAAAAATGTCTTATTCCAAGTTTGGGTATACTTGTCCATGTATCCGGTATTAACGAAACAGGAGAAAAACCTTTGGGCCTGTCGCATTAAAGGAGACTGTTGCGTCTTGTTCTAGATCGGTTAGCCTGAGAATGAAACGCGATGAGTCCTCAAAGAGCGTAACCAACTTCCAGCAGCGACGTCTCAGCGAGCAGCGGCCAGCGTTCACGTACGGCTGGCGATCCAACTCGCTTACCATCCAAACACTAGCTCAGCATTCCGCTTATCTAGCTGAGAAAGCGCTCAACAAGCAGGCGTGAGTAGAGTCACTCATCTCCATTGTTATCATTTTGATTATCAATTTGATTTAACACGACGTATTACTGTCCGATATGACATATCGTCTTCTCGCATTAAAACTGTATAATATCGAAATTTACTAATTTTACAGAAGAGTGTTTTAAAGGTTTAACATGTAATATTTTTAAAATTAATCATCTTTGCAACATGTATTTTTCATCTGTTTGTAAAATATCTGTCTTTTAAAGTAAGATAAAATTATTTATTAATTTTGTTAATAGTAGTGAAAGCATAGGTAAACTAAAAAAAAAACTAAGACTAAACTACGCTGTTTGGATAGTATTTATGAGAAAAATACTGGTGATACCAAATGATTCCGCATATTAACTCAATTTCAAATATTTTTGGAAATTGTACACTTTTAGTACGAAAAGACGATATGAGTGGGACAGTAATTTTATTTTTCTATACTATTCTAAACTATTTTTAATACGCTTTTATTAGCTTCAGACGTAGGTATGTATTAGTATGTAACGGAATCTTTGAACATGATTTTGAGCCCCTTCAAAATGTCGGATTAACTCGAAATTTCGTATACTTGTATTACGATGACAATTCAATATTTTAAAAAAATCTTGAAAAAATTGAAATTCAACTAAAAAATGAAATAAATAATAGTTTAAAAAAACTAACATAATACGGTTTTATACAAAATCCAACTAAAAAATAGAAAATAAATTTTAATAAATTTAATTTAAAAAAAGTAGGAAAAACTGCTGGGTGCTTTTCAGGATATTATCAAAATAACCCTTCTACTCATATCTGTTCATAAAATATTTATAACTACTGATACCATGCACCCCACGCTTTTTTTTACAATAAAATCTTTTTTTCTTACACAAACAAATTTAATACAAATTTATTAAAATTTATTTTCTATTTTTAGTTGGATTTTCCATAAAAGCGTATTTTGTTAGTTTTTTTAAACTATTTTAAGAGTAGGTTAGTTGAAGCACAAAAATTAGAATGGGTTTATATAATATTATTAATATTTTAAATTTGATCCCCGGTCAAGTGGTTAGTGACTTTTGGGTAACTTCATGAAAGATACTTTATTCGAGGTCTGAATGCACTTGTCACTTATTCGTGTGGTATGTGTGTTGTAAAGCCCAAAACACAGGAGAAAATACTAGATTTGTTAAATGAACAACGTTTGATTACTTGTTTCTATTAAAATAACCGACGCCAAAAACGAAGGAAATCTTATATTCGACTGCATGTATTTTATGTACGTTAGCAGATTTCTCCGCAATTTATAGGCCAATTTCTCTAAATGGTTCCATTGTTATAAAAAAGTTTACTTGATATTTTCACTCTTGAAACCCATATTTTTTTTTTTTTTCATTCACTACATATTTTCTGTCAAGGAGTATATTTGAACGTAGAAACATCTTCAGGTACTGTCATTTTAAGTCGCTCATTTAAGTACACTTTTCTCGTACCTATTACAAAGCGAATAAAATATAAAAAATATATATCACTGTAACGTTAGTCAGACATATAGTATTTCCACGGGAGTTCTTTTCACGCATTTCCTCATTAAATTAGACTCAAATTAAGTGGTCTCTTCTTGTCGATCATAACTCTGCGCAACTCTTTAGAAACAGCGCCAGCTCTGCATTTCGCTAAGCCAAATTAGCTTCTAACACTATTTAGGTTATGCGACTTTATATTTACATACAATATATAAAAGTGTATTATGTAAAATTCCAGTGAAGAAGAGTTATTACAAAGCACACCGGTTTCGTGGTTACGATTAGTAAGTAAACCGTATTTATAATATAACGAATGTTTTATTTTGACATAATTAAAAATACTTTCAAGGCTAAAAATGCTTCTTTTTATTATCTCGCGTTTATTATCTACTATATTTTGTTTCTCATGTTTCGAATACAGCACAGTTTTAGGTTGTCCCGGATGGATGACTACCGTATAAATAAGTAATTTTAATTATGTCTACGACTAGTGGATATCTGAATAAAAACTGAAACTTTTTTTGTAGAAAAATGTTGATTTGTACAAAAATGTTTTTTTTTTATTGCTTAGATGGGTGGACGAGCTCACAGCCCACCTGATGTTAAGTGGTTACTGGAGCCCATAGGCATTTACAACGTAAATGCGACACCCACCTTGAGATACAAGTTCTAAGGTCTCAAGTATAGTTACAACGGCTGCCCACCCTTCAAACCGAAACGCATTACTGCTTCACGGCAGAAATAGGCAGGGTGGTGGTACCCACCCGCGCGGACTCACAAGAGGTCCTACCACCGGTAATTACGCAAATTATAATTTTGCGGGTTTGATTTTTATTACACGATATTATTCCTTCACCGTGGAAGTCAATCGTGAACATTTGTTGAGTACGTATTTCATTACGTTCGCTAAGTGGTTACGCTAAGCGTAATTAGGGAAGCGAAAGTGGTCATTGCTCACCCTAGGAAGAATGTGGGTTCCCCCTTGGGTATCTTAACAAATTATGTCTTGTTTATCGGAATAAGTCGTAAAACTTCGATGATTAATGGTAACGCATTACCGAAATTGAAAATTTATGGTGATGGATAAAGTAGCTCGCTGTATCGCCCTAAAAAAATCATTTGTTAATCTGACCACACGTCACAACATGAAAGTTTGTCAATTATGTCAAAGTCTCAATAAAGACATTTTCTACCATTCGTCTTTTCAATTTGTTTTCAAATGTTTATAATTCATATTATTGCATTGGGGTATGGGGAAACGATTGCCCGAAGCCATTCACATCCACAGGTTGAATCTTGCCTTGAGGAATAAGGTCGAAATCTCAATAGCGTTGTACAACGATATTTACGACCTTCAAACATCAGGCATGATGGTGGTACTTACCCAAACGGACTCGCATTGCACTGTACCATCAATCTATACTAATATTATAAAGAGGAAAGATTTGTTTGTTTGTTTGTATTGAATAGGCTCCGAAACTACTAAGCCGATTTGAAAAATTCTTTCACTGTTTGGAAGCTACACTATTCCCGAGTGACATAGGCGATAATCTTTTTTGAAAAAAAATTGGGATCCTTACTAAAACTTCAATGATGTAACCCAAGGTGTAAAAAAATTACCTAAAATATTCTTTACATCGCGTGCCCTGCGAAAACTATTGATGATAGAATAGAATAATGTTCTACGACTTTGTAGAACACATTATTATTAACAAAAAGGTCAAATATCGTTGAAATTTTTGTTAAAGACCCGAGCGGTGCCGGAGCGGGCCCTAGTAACGATATAAATACGAATAAATACCGTGCTATATTTAGTATAGATACGCAAAATTATGGGAGATCTTGCTACTCATCACGGGTGTGATCCTGGCCAGCTTGAACGGGTTGTTCGTGCCAATAGGAGTTATCATATATGGAGAGTTTACGTCGCTACTGATCGACAGAACTGTGATGGTCGGCACCTCCGGGAAGACTCTAACCATTGCGATGTTCGGTGGTGGACGAATATTGTGAGTATAGATTTGGAAACTATGAAATAACACCCTATAGACTAGTGCTTGCTATACAGGGTGTGGAAAAACTAAAATACGCAACTAACGCATTACGTATGACGAAGAACAAAGACGCGAAGGTAATCTCTTTCAAACATAAAGTGAGGAAATTACTTAAAATACTTTCAACGAAATAATTATATAATTTTAGTATATAGAATACAATTTTGAATGGATTTTGTACGAAAATCTTTTTAAACAAAACTTTGGATCCAAATCATGCTCAACCTTTGAATACTGTAAAACGACTTTTTCATGTAGGCGTTTAAGATGTCTGAAGAAGCACATCTTCTGTACTTTAACTAAAGTTCGAAAATAACTATATTCGAATGTTATGCAGGACGAACGCCAGCCGGGAAGAGAATAGGTTGGCATTAATCGAAGACTCGCAAGCGTTCGGTGTTGGATGCACGGTGTTCTCGATAGCTCAGTTCGTTATTGGTGCCATAAGTGTGGACCTATTCAACGTTACAGCGTTGAGACAGGTTAGTGGCACTGAGTGAGTGAGTGAGTGAGTGAGTGAATGAATGAGTAAGAGAATGGATGAGTGAGTAAGTTAATGATGAGTGAGTGTGTGAGTACGTGAGTGCGTGAGAGCATGAGTGAGTGAGGAATGAGTGAGTGAGTAAGTGAATGATAAGCAAGTGCGTGAGTGAATGAGCGTGTAAATGAGTGCGTGAGTGAGAGAGAAATGCAATGACGTAACAATTTACATTAAAAAAATTACTACCAAGAAAAATCTCGCTTGCTCCTTTCATTGATTTTAATGGCTAGACGAAGTAAGCCATTGACATCGTGACGTGCTCCCGCTGGCTCCCTTCAAACATAGCAGCGAAGTTTCACTTCCATTGACAGAGCGACAGTGTTTCACTTGCAGCGGTGCCGTGAAACAATGCAACAGAAATCTGATAAGCGAATTGCTTCTCGAATTCCTTTCTTTTCAGATTGAAAGGGTAAAAACGCATTTCCTACAAGCAGTCCTCCGACAGGACCTGACCTGGTACGACTTGAACACCTCAATGAATTTCGCCACCAAGGTCTCTGAGTAAGTAGTAGTTTTTATTACACGGCCACACATTCGTCATCTATTAAAAAATTACATTGAAAATATTTAACTTATTGTATATTATAAGTATGTATATTGGTAATTATATAAAACCCACACAGGGTATATAAATCAAATAATTATTTCTTATTATATGTAAACGGTATATAGGTATCTATTTATGGTATGTATATATTTTCTATAATAATTTATTGCCAAAAGTACACCGCAAGGGACAACAACATACCTGCTACGAATATATCTTTATCTTTTCTAGAATTTCTGTAAATTAAACGGTTGTCTGGGAGATATCGCTTTTAGCGATAAGACCGCCTATTGTACAAATGTATCTGCTTGTTGACTGCCTTTTAATGTTAATTGTGTTTTGGTGTGCAATAAAGTGTATTCTCTCTCTCTCTCTCTCTCTCTCTCTCTCTCTCTCTCTCTCTCTCTCTCTCTCTCTCTTATATTTAGTCAGTGGTTCCCTCACGAAATTCCCATTAAAATCGTATCGTTCTTATAGTGACTTGGAGAAGTTTCGCGAGGGTATAGGTGAGAAAGTCCCCATGCTCATCTATCTGGTGATGTCGTTTGTGACCGCTGTCATTATCTCGTTCGTGTATGGCTGGGAGCTCACGCTGGTCATTCTGTCTTGTACCCCGGTGGTGATCGCAACAACAGCTATAGTCGCAAAGGTTAGTGCTTAATATGTTTTGAATTTTGATACAAAAAAGTAATCATATTCACAAGGTAAATGTGGTAGGCAGCGGCTTGGCTCTGCCCCTGGTATTGCTGAAGTCCATGGGCGACAGTAACCACTTACCATCAGGTGGGCCGTGTGCTCGTCTGCCAACAAGGGCAATATAAAATTAAAATAAAATGCCGTCACCCACCATAAGACGTGACTAGTAAGTTTAAGTTCCATGGTATAACTGCCCCACCTCTCAAATCGGAACGCTTTACTACCTTTTCAGCAGAAATAGGACCTCTTGTGAATCCGCACGGGTAGGTACCACCGCCCCGCCTATTTCTGCCGTGAAGCAGTAATGCGTTTCGGTTTGAAGCGTGGGGCAGCCGTTGTAACAACTAAACTTGGGACCTTAGAACTTATATCTCAAGGTGGGTGGCGCATTTACGTTATAGAAGTATATGGGCTCCAGTAACCACTTGACACCAGGTGGGCTGTAAGCTCGTTCACCCATCTAAGCAACAAAAAAAATAATTGATAAAGTGGTGGTCCCTATCCGCGCGGGCTCACAAAATGCCCTACCATCTGAAATTATACAAATTATGTCTTTTAATTTTTCTAATGCGATGTTAGTCCTTCATTGGGGAAGACATCTGTGAATACGAGATAAACATGTATTTCATTAGAAACATTGTTACCTGCTTGCGGGATTCGAACGCCGGCACAGTCGCTCCATACGAGTACATCGGACGTCTTATCTTTTAAGCCACGACGACTTCAACATTATACCAGAATCCCGTAATTTATTATTTGTTTAATCTGAACTCTATCTAATGTAATGTAAGCTGCTAAGACCAGTTTTGAGTCCGCAAAGGAACCAAAATCGAGCCTATTTCTACCGTGAGGCAAATGTATTGTTACTGCTACTATTGGGCGTACTGTATACCATAATAGCATTACAGCTAAGTCCCTCCTAAATACATTATTATTTTATTGTTTTTTATTTCTTTGTTTCTCTAGTGTTTCAATTTGTTTAATTGGAGGAGGACCTTTAATTGGCTTTTTGTTTCTATTATTTGTTATATTATGATACTATGTTAGTTCGCTGTTGGTTCTCCTTGTAATAAATATATAAATAAATAGAGAGTAATTTCAATTCATTTAATTGTGAAATGAAATTCAAAATTCAAATCTTGTTATGCTATCGGTACCTGACGACTTCAATTACAAGATTTTTTTTTCTAGAATTAAACCGTACCCCGCTTTGGAAATGATGCGAAGAATAATTGGTAGACGTGGCTTTAGGTTTGTCATCGTAAGCGCGCATTTTTAATAGGCGAACGAATGACGACTATTTCGGTTTAAATATTTAGGTGCAGTCATCGCTGACGACGCAAGAGTTGAAAGCCTATAGTGTGGCTGGTATCGTGGCTGAAGAGGTTCTGTCTTCAATCAGAACTGTCGTTGCTTTCGGAGGCGAAGAGAAAGAAATTAAAAGGTATTTTTTTACATTTTCCTGCTCCTCAGAACACCTTAAAAGCGCTTTATCGGCCATGTTTTTTGAATAATAATAATAATAATAATAAACAGTAATTCCAAACATAAATTAAAAAAAAAAAAAAAATTAAAAGAAAAATAACGATGCTTGGAAAGGGTTACCGGCTCTGCAATGCCTAACAGTACCAATCTGTACCAAATAACAGTACCAGAGACAATCAATATCTGAACTTAGAATAAAAACAATAACTGCAACAAAAACAATAAAAACAGTAAAATACATAATTATATTAAATTATAAAAAATACAAGTGCAATGCACAATTACAGCACGGAATAGTTAAAATTTATATTTTCGAATAAATAATTCAAAACACTAAAATTTGCAAACTTTTCAGTATTTTAGCATGTTTACCTCCTCGAATCCGTATCCTGAATTGTCAATCGCAGACGTAAAAATCCCGTAAATGGCCACTGAACTAAGCTAACATTTTAATCCAAACTAAAATAATTTACAGCCAGCAAATCTTCAACGCTTTTAAATTGTCATGACTTTACTACAGATTTGCAATGCAGTTTTGCTACTGGCTCTTTCCATAAACAAATACACATCACGTCTATGTCTTACTCAGTAAATCCGAGGCTCTGTGGTTTCACGGGCCGCGGAGGGCGCCACGCGTTGACGCCCACATCGTGGTTGGAGGCGTCCGGATAGGGGTCGGGGTGCAGTTGAAGTACCTCGGCCTCGTGTTGGACAGCCGGTGAGCTTTTCGTGCTCACTTTGCTCAGCTGGTCCCCCGATTGATGGGGACGGCCGGTTCTTTGAGCCGGCTGCTCCCGAATATTGGGGGACCGGATCAGGTTGTGCGCCGCCTCTACGCGGGGGTGGTGCGATCGATGGCCCTGTACGGTGCACCTGTATGGGCTGAGCCGCGCAACCGGGCCACTATGGCTCGGTTCCTGCGCCGGCCACAGCGCACCGTTGCCATCAGGGTCATCCGCGGATATCGCACCGTCTCCTTCGAGGCGGCGTGTGTGTTGGCGGGGACGCCGCCTTGGGAGCTGGAGGCGGAGTCGCTCGCTGCCGACTATCGGTGGCGCAGCGAGCTTCGTGCTCGGGGCGTGGCGCGTCTCCCCGAAAGTGAGCTACGGGCGCGGAAGGCCCATTCTCGGCGGTCCGTGCTCGAGTCGTGGTCGAGGCGATTGGCCAACCCCACGTGGGGGCTACGGACCGTCGAGGCGGTTTACCCAGTCTTTGATGACTGGGTGAATCGTGGCGAAGGACGTCTCACCTTTCGTCTGGTGCAGGTGCTGACCGGGCACGGATGCTTCGGGAAGTACCTGCGCCGGATAGGGGCTGAGCCGACGACGAGGTGTCACCATTGTGGACACGACCTGGACACGGCGGAGCATACGCTCGCTGTCTGCCCCGCTTGGGAGGTGCAGCGCCGTGTCCTGGTCGCAAAGATAGGACCTGACTTGTCGCTGCCTGGCGTCGTGGCATCGATGCTTGGCGGCGATGAGTCCTGGAAGGCTATGCTCGACTTCTGCGAGTGCACCATCTCGCAGAAGGAGGCGGCGGGGCGAGTGAGGCAAAGCTCTCCTCACTACGCAGAAACCCGCCGCCGCCGAGCAGGGGGTCGGGACCGGCGTCGTATCCGTGACCTGGCCCCCTAAGAGCTAGGGGTCCCACCCGTTTTGTGCGGGGAGAGACCCAGACGTAAGGTGGCGTGCTTTGCACGCTCACGCGCAGTAGAAAGCCGGGTGATGGTAGACCGCGTTCCCCCGACCGCTCTGGGGGAAGGTGTAACGCGGCGCCATCAAAGCGGGGTCTCGGCCCGCTGAACGAGGGAACCGGTGGTCGTGTCGCTGGCGGCCGCCGGTCCGGCGTCCGTGGGACGGTGGGATGGATGTAATGTGCTCTGCGTCAACCCCGTTTCAATAGCCCCGACTGGGCTCCGGCCCGGTCCGAGGTAGGGCGCAGGTTGTGAGCGGCAGGAGTTTTTAGTGAGGTTCAACTCCCACATACCCCACCTGCCGCGCGGGTGGGGACCCGGCGATTTTCTCCTGTGGAAAAAAAAAAAAAACGTCTGTCTTATTAATACGTGAAGCAAAAACTTTGTACCTACCCTTTTTTACGAAAATTGCGCGGATGGAGAAGTATGAAATTTCCCACGATTATAGAGAATATAGAGAAGTGCAGAATGCTAATTTTTTTTTTTATTATGCATAAAAAATACATTAAATCAGTAAAAAAAATGACACAGAGCACCATGTACCACACACACACATGCATATATACTTTTTTGTTTATTGTTTAATTATTGTGGTCAAATTGAGAAGAGATTAATATTGTTTGTCTTTAATATTATAAGTCTACAATGTAGCCTTGGCGAAAGCTGTGATATTAGAACAATGATTATAACAGAAATTTTGATTAAAGAAATGTAACAATACAACCATAATAATGTTCAAACTTATAATTTAAATTAATTATGGTCAAATTTCGACCTCATGGCAACCACTAATATTAAATCCGTAGATACAATAAGAATGACTTGAACAAGATGAAGAAAGTCTGCAATAGACCAAGCACTAGCCAGAAATCTGTTGGTACGATACCGACCGAATCTAATGGACCAAGAAGAATTGTTTAACACCATTTCCGAATCTAGGTCTTCGATTTCAGGTACAGCGTCCGCTTGGAGCCGGCGAACAAGATGGGGACACGTAAAGGAATATTTTCGGGCTTCGGAAGCGGGGTCATGTGGCTCATTATATACGGGACATACGCGCTGTCCTTCTGGTACGGTGTCGGCCTCATCCTGAAATCTCGCCACCAGGAAACGCCTGTGTACACTCCAGCTGTGTTGATGATTGTAAGCGAATTACTCGACTTCTACTCCTTTCCCTTATCCCATATCAAATGGGGTGGGCGCAACTTATCCTATTATCATGCTGCATAGGGATTTGGTATGAGTTTCGGCTACCTGTCTGACGTTAGTGGGAAAAACTTAATCTTCACAAATTTTCACCTCGGCGGTGTATTGGTTCTATATTTTTTGAGGTTTCTGCGGGGGCGAGTATCGCCAAAAGGTGAACAAAAAAGAGGGACAGGCCGAGGCTAGGTAATAGAGAGAAGTAGACGTACCTGCCAATCCGTCGCTGGTTTCTCGCCACAGGCAATTGTCTCCTCAAGGACAAGCCTTCCGAACCCTGCCCAACTTAATCGAACTAAACTGCATATGCGACAAGTTGGTTTACTATCTTGTGACTAATATATTCAAACAAATGCTAGTTCCAAGTGTTTAAGAATATTATTCAAAAAACCCGGTTGGTAAATTTGATGGATAATTAAAAAAGTCCGGTATTGCAGATATTCTTCAGTGTACTCCAAGGGGCTCAGAACGTTGGCCTAACCGCTCCTCATTTAGAGGCCATAGCGAACGCGCGAGCTTCCGCGGCCTCAGTCTATGCCGTCATCGATAGGAAACCGGCTATTGACAGTCTCTCCACGGAAGGCGCCAAACCAGAGTTCAAAGGAGACCTGGAGTTGGAAGACGTGTTCTTTAGATATCCGGCGAGAGCGGATGTGCAGGTTTGTAATACATCACTTGCTTATATTGGAAGCCTTTAATGCACTAATCATCGCAATGATCAAAGTTTTGTGCAATAAACAAGACCCTGTTAAACAAAACTTAAACCAAATTTTCACGCATTACACAACTCTACAAAAAAAAATTCGTTCTTTGTCCTAACGTTTATACTAGGTTTTTCCGGTTAATTATTCACAAAAACGAAAATAAAATACTTTTTTTGGTATAAAGTTTGCTTTTGTGATAGTTATAGTAATTATACTCATTCATTCATTCCCCCATTCATTTCAATTTTTTTATAAATTTTAATGAATTTTAATACTTTCAAAAAACCGCACCCCGTGAGAGTGGGGTGTTTATGTTTACACAGCTTACGATTTAAAATATCGAAATTTTATGCTTTGCAATCAAAGTCAAATTTGGTGTTGACCCGTGCTATCCATCTGTTTCAGGTCCTCAACGGATTAAATCTGAAAATAAACGAGAACGAAACGATAGCGCTGGTGGGTCCAAGCGGCTGCGGTAAGTCCACGGTCCTGCAGCTCCTACAGAGGATGTACGACCCCGACCAGGGCTCCGTGAGGGCCAGCGGCCATGACTTGCGGACCATGAACGTGAGGCACCTCAGGAATCACATCGCTGTCGTCGGCCAAGAACCAGTGCTGTTCGCGGGGACCATCAAAGAGAATATCCGGTAAGGACTTTGCCAAGTAACTGGTGGTAGGACGTCTTGTGAGTCCACACGGGTAGGCACCACCACCCTGTCTATTTCCGCCGTGAAGCAGTAATGCGTTTCGGTTTGAAGGGTAGGGCGGCCGTTGTACTGTTAAACGTGAGACCTTAGAACGTTGTCTCGAGGTGGATGGCGGCATTTACGTCATATGAGTCTATGGATTTCGGTAACCACTCTACACCATGTGGACCGTGAGCTCGTCCACCCACAAAATGAATAAAAAAATAATAAAAAAGTAACTTTGAACCTTTCCTTTTTATTGTGCTGTTTTTTCGCCAAAGATTCGAGTCGTTTTCTAAATGCGCTGATGATATATGTAGGAGAATTTTAATGGATAAGATACGCCATCTCACCCATCGAAAGACAAAGAGAATAAGTCGTCACTAACTTTAACAAATAAGAACAAAGTCTCAAAAGAGCAAAATCGATGGTAAACAATTTCGAACGACGTGGTGTTTGATATTAAATTAAATTTCTGTTTACAGGATGAGCAATCCATCTTGCACCGATGATGAGGTCATCGTAGCCGCTAAACAAGCTTACTGCCATGATTTCATAAGGAAATTGCCGGATGTAAGTTTTGTTGCCTATTAACGGGCAATTTTTTTTTTTGGGCCGTGTTTCGAACCTCCTACGGGGTCCCTGCGCTTACGGAGCGCGCGGGGTATGTGGGACTTGACGATCTGCAAGGTGTTGGGAGCAGACCGCGGACCCAAGGGCCTATTAACGGACCACACCTAACCTATGCGAGCTTGTGGAGGGAGGTCGAGTTATCTTTGAGTTTTGTCATTCCTGATGGTAAATGGTCATCGAGGCTTATGAACATCAGCATTATCAAGAGCACATTCAATCTGCTGCCTGCTGCTGAAGATTATTTTAAGCGTCTGTGCAATATATCATGATTATTGACAATCCGAACGGTCCCTTTATGTGTTAAGTTAAATTGTTTTTTACTGGTGGTAGGACCTTTTGTGTGTAAGCACGGGTAGGTACCACCACCCTGCCTATTTCTGCCGTGAAGCAGTAATGCGTTTCGGTTTGAAGCGTGGGGCAGCCGGTGTACTGTAACTTCGAACTCATATCTCAAAGTAGGTTTTTTTGTTTGTTGCTTAAATGGGTGGACGAACTCACACCTGGTGATAAGTGGTTACTGGAGTAAAAGGGTGCGTGTACTTATGTACGCGCGTAAGAAGTTAAACTTTATGTTTATATTTTTTTATTTTTTTTTTATTTAAATTTTAATCAATTTGAAAAAAAATCGATTAAACAACATCCTCAAACACGCATATTGGACATCCCTTTTCTTGACATCGTATATTTTCGGTAATTGTCGGTACGGTTCGGAAAGTTCACCTGCGGCTATATTCAGACTCGCCAAGTTACGTCGGTCGTATTGTAATGAGCGATTTAGTGGGCAACTTCATTTCTGTTAATTTTGAGTCACGGTGCGCGCGCATCGTAACATTTCACTCTCATAAATTTTTCATAACGCGCCTAAAGAAGTATAACTTCAATAAAAAATAAACCTACCCTAATCAAATTTGTGGATCGAGGTCGAGGGGGTGGGTAGTCTCTGAACAAATTTAGGTAGCATATTTTACTGTGAGCGGATGCCTCCTAAATACTAGCTACTACTACTACTACTTCTACCTAACAAATAGCTTTGAATCTAGATTGAACGCGAGTGATTTGAAGTGGCACAGCGGATCAATGCTGACTAGTTTCATTTTGATACACCCTCGTATGCCATTATAAGGTGAACATTTTTTATCTATTGCTTATTTCTGGTGGTAGGACCTCTTGTGAGTCCGCACGGGTAGGTACCACCGCCCCGCCTATTTCTGCCGTGAAGCAGTAATGCGTTTCGGTTTGAAGGGTGGGGCAGCCGTTGTGACTATACTGAGACCTTAGAACTATATCTCAAGGTGTGTGGCGCATTTACGTTGTAGATGTCTATGGGCTCCAGTAACCACTTAACACCAGGNTGGATGAGCTCACAGCCCACCTGGTATTAAGTGGTTACTGGAGCCCATAGACATCTACAACGTAAATGCGCCACCCATCTTGAGATATAAGTTCTAAGGTCTCAGTATAGTTACAACGGCTACCCCACCCTTCAAACCGAAACGCATAGTAAAGCAGTAGCTTCACGGTAGAAATAGGCAGGGTGATGGTACCTACCCGTGCGGACTCACAAGAGGTCCTACCACCAGTAATTACGCAAATTATGATTTTGCGGGTTTGATTTTTATTAGACGATGTTATTCCTTCACCGTGGAAGTCAATCGTGAACATTTGTTGAGTGCGTATTTCATTAGAAAAATTGGTACTCGCCTGCGGGAATCGAACACCGGTGCATCGCTCAACACGAATGCACTGGACGTCTTATCCTTTAGGCCACGACGACTTTAAATATACATCCTCGATACACCGACTGATACACCCTCGTATGCCATTATAAGTTTGAACATTTGAAGGTTCACGTCGATGTTTATAGTTGTAATATTGTCCAGGGCTACGACACGCCCATAGGCGAGCGCGGCGCCCAGCTCTCCGGCGGACAGAAGCAGCGCATCGCCATAGCTCGCGCGCTGGTGCGGCGCCCCAAGCTGCTGCTGCTGGACGAGGCCACGTCGGCGCTGGACTCGCACAGCGAGGCCAAGGTGCAGCGCGCGCTGGACGCCGCCGCGCACGGACGCACCACCGTCATGGTCTCGCACAGGTACATCTTTTTTTTTAAAGGGATTTTATGATCCGGTAACTAAGACCTTTGAGTCATGTCTTATTTTTAGGAAAAATGAGAATATGGAGTGAAATGAAATGAAGATGATTAATTTGAGACATTGATCAACTGAGATGTAATTAAATCAAATGAGATGAGATAATATGGGATGAAATATAATCTTAGTAAAATGGTTTTTGGAGGATTCCGAGAAGTTACGTCCAGCGGCTTTATTTCATTTTCCCACAATTGTGCACTTTCACTAATATTAAATAGTTAATAAACCATCGTTATTACACATTTAAAACTGAAGAAACACTAAATAGACAAAATAAAACAAATCACACAACTTCGCTCCTCGCGTTCCCGCCAAAAATATACACGTCGGGCATCAGGCGCAGAGTAACCTCGCTATCTCTCTCGCACTCTAAAATGGCGATGACGTCATTTTACAACTAGCTCCCTCTGAACAAAATTGTAAAAGGATTTTCTTTTTTTTTATTGCTTAGATGGGTGGACGAACTCCAGCCCACCTGGTGTTAAGTGGTTACTGGAGCCCATAAACATTCACAACGTAAATGCGCCACCCACCTTGTGATATAAGTTGTAAGATCTCAGTATAGTTACAACGGGTGCCCTACCCTTCAGACCAAAACGCATTACTGCTTCACGTCATAAATAGGCAGGGCGGTGGTACCTACCCGCGCGGACACACAAAAGGTCCTACCACCAGTAAAAAACCATGTAACTAAACACAGAAGGGGACCGTTTGGATTGTCAATAATCATGATATATTGCACAAACGCTTAAAATAACCTTCAGCATTAGGCAACAGATTGGATGTGCTCTTGATAATGCTGATGTTCATAAGCCTCGATGACCATTTACCCCCAGGAGTGACAAAACTCAAGGATAACTCGACCTCCCTCTAATCAGAGTCCATGTATATCATGCTTAGATTGGTGACCGTACTGAACGCGTCTCGCATAGTCTTCATAGACAAGGGAGAAGTGGTCGAGGAAGGCACACACGAGGAGTTGATGTCGCTGCGGGGTCGGTACTACCAGCTGGTGCTGGAGAATGAGCCCAGTATGGCGCCAGGAGCCGCCTCAAGCAACGACATGCAGAAACGTAAGTCTCTATTTATTCATTAAGCCTCGTAGAAATATGTCTACCACACCCAAGTGATCATTGTTCTATACTCTTCGTATATACTGTGTTACTTATAATATTTTGTATTCAAGTTTAACAATATTTGCTATGTGTATGTGCATTATAATTCTCATGTTGTATTTGTTATTTTGGCTGTTCTACACACACTCATCACTTTTAATTATTATTCTCATAATCCTCTCGCAGATCTGCTGGAAGAGATTTCTTAAAGAAATAAGCAGTGCCTTTGTACATAATTTTATTACTCTGTTCTATGTCTTCTTTTCTTGTATGTACATAAATAAATAAATAAATAAAAGACAAATGATTCAATGAAACAATTTTATTTGTTTTGATTCGAAAGACCGAAGATAGTCAGGGTCACGTCTTGATGATCAAGGTAAGTGATTTTCAAACTATGTTGTCCGTGTGGGTAGGCAACCCCTCATGACAAAGCAGGTGGAATACAGCTCGCAGGTGCCTATTAGGAGCTTAAAATAGATTCAATAAAGCTATAATGGTTTGGCCATAAGTCCAGCGCAGTTTGATTATCCAAAGACATTAATTAATGCTGACCAGCCAACAACTAATTGATGTCCCCACTTAATGTGGAGCGCGCATTTGTTGTCTGGTTGTGGTTTGAATTCAGTCCTTATTGAAATGGAATGTGAGCTGTAAACAGTAAATGTACGGGATCGTCACTATGACAGGTTTTAAGACAATATCGACATGTCACAGGTTGACCAATGAGTAACACACACAGAACATTGCAAAACAAAAACAAATAGATGAATATTGTCGTTGACGACATGAAGGAAGCTCACGCGGATAGTGAGTTCAAAGTCCCATCGGCATAATGATTATTCTAACCTTACGGGAATTCGTGATTAACTCCTACTTCTTCGACCAGATGCGAGAATCCGGAAGCCCAAACTACAGAAATTGGCTTCCGTCGACTCGATCAAGAGCAATTTTACCCAAGACGACTCCGGCTCGGAGGACAGTGTGATGCTGGATGAGCCCAAAGAGGAGGAGATCAAACCGACGACTTGGGACATAATGAAACTGTGCGAGCCGGAGAAGTGGCTGATGATCGTCGGTGTCCTAGCCGCCTTCTCTGTAGGCTCCTCCTTCCCGATGTTCGCGATCTTGTTCGGCGAAACTTACGGGGTAAGCTCTAATTCTAAGACCGCCTGGTACAGACGCCCGCTCGGCTAGACACGGGCTTCTCCCAAGGTTCACCATAGTGACCAGTTCTCCGCTGCTCGCATTCGACACATTCCCGCGGCGTTCATCATGTCATCGATCAACCATATGCGAATCCAACTAGCTCTGTTGTATTTTTATTTTTAAGCTACTCGTTAAATGTAGATAGAACATTCCTGTTACGACACTATAAAGGTCACGGGGGAAAAAATAATTTATTATTGATGTATTTTCGCGGCATGCAATGTATTGCGCTTGAAAAGTACCGGACGTACGAGGGCAAAGGCCGTAGATGACAATGCCTTTGTTTTAGGTTGCTGTTACCAAAACAAAACGAATAAGAGGAGCTTATGCGAATATACTTCGCTTTTCTTTTTTTTATTGTTTAGATGGGTGGGAGCTCACAGCCCACCGGGTGTTAAGTGGTTACTGGAGCCCATAGACATCTACAGCATATATACCGCTACCCACCTAGAGACATAAGTTCTAATTCTTAGTTTTTATAGCCAACAGCTGCCCCACCCTTCAAACCGAAACGTATTACTGCTTCACGGCTGAAATAGGCAAGGTGGGGGCACCTACCCGTGCGGACTCACAAGGGATCCTACCACCGTTATATCAACGCCTTGTACCAAACTATGGAGAGTAGAGATAAGGAGCACCATCTTGTAAATGGGACAAAGTGTCCACCTGTAATTATTGTTGGAAGACTCACCGAAATGGCGCTAGTGTAGGAATTGGAAATGATATGTAGGTATATAGAAGTTTTGAACAGAGTGAAGTGTGCTGCTTTTTTTCTTTTTTTTATTGCCTAGATGTTTGGACGAGCTCACAGCCCACCTGGTTTTAAGTGATTACTGGAACCCATAGACATCTACAACGTAAATGCGCCACACACCTTGAGACATAAGTTCTAAGGTCTCAGTATATGTGGGTTGAAGTCTGTTAGTTTAAAGCGCTGTTTTAAAATCTTTCCATTTACTACTATGGCGCCACCTTAATTTGCTCCCATTTTTTAATATACTGAGATTATGCACCTTACTTCTACTTTCCATATAACAACCCTATACAGCAGCTTTATAGCAAGTTAATCCAAAGAATATCGATAATTTGTTGGGATTATGTTAACAGTTATTGGAGAATCGTAACGACGAGTGGGTCCGGGACGAGACCAACATGATAGCGGTCCTGTTCATATTGGTGGGCGTCTTAACCGGAGTGGGGATATTCTTCCAAATTTACATCTTCAATTTGACCGGAGTCAGGCTGACGGCTAGGCTAAGGTACTGTAATTACTTTTTTTTTTTAATTGCTAGATTCGTGGACGAGCTCACAGCCCAGCTGGTGTTAAATGGTTACTGGAGCCCATAGACATCTATGACGTAAATGCGACACCCACCTTGAGATATAAGTTCTAAGGTCTCAAGTATAGTTACAACGGCTGCCCCACCCTTCAAACCGAAACGCATTACTGCTTCACGGCAAAAATAGGCGGGGCGGTGGTACCTAACCGCGCGGGTAGATTACTTATGATCACTGCTATCGTATGTCGTATTACTCATGTCAGAGCGGTCGTGGTCGTTAATCAGTATCATTGCTGTGGGCAGATATTATGAGTCTCGTGAGCAATCGCCACTTCTCCCGATTTATGGTGAGCCTGGTACACTCATGCAATAATAGCCGCCAATTTCCGACTTGACTCTTTTTTTTATTATTACTTAGGTGGGTGAACGAGCTCAAGGTCCACCTGGTGTGAATTGGTTACCGGAGCCCGTAGACATATACAACGTAAATGCCGCCACCTACCTTGAAATATAGTTCTAAGGTCTCAGTTTTTACAGTATAACAGCTGGCTGCTCCACCCTTCAAACCGAAACGCATTACTGCTTCACGGCAGAAATTGATGGGGTGGTGGTACCTACCCGTGCGGACTCACAAGAGGTCCTAACACCAGTAATCACGCAAATTATAATTTTGCGTCTTTCATTTTTATTACACGATGTTTATTCCTTCACCGTGGAAGTCAATCGTGAACATCTGTTAAGTATGTATTTCATTAGAAAAATTGGTACCTACCGGCAGGATTCGCATACCGTTGCATCGCTCGATACGAATGCACCGGACGTCTTAATGTAACATTACTCTTCTTCGTTAGGGTGGCGGTATTCCGTAAGATGTTAGCTCAGGAGATCGGCTGGTTCGACGATCCAAAGAACGGAGTCGGAGCGCTCTGCGCCAGGCTAGCTGCTGATGCTGCAGCAGTACAAGGCGTAAGTGTGCGCGCCAAACCAGTTTCTTTAGCTCTCGCAACACGCGTCTGTCCTTCTAGCCACCAGAGCGTGTTATGAGCCCACTGCGAAGGAGCTTACACATTAAATGATACTGCTACGCGCTGGGGTTCGGGATAAATAAAATTTCACCAAAGTACAACTTAAAACTGTATTCAAACTCATGAATGAGTTAAGCTCGCCTTTGTACATAGTATTTAGACATTCTTTAAATCTGTTTTTATTGTATTTTCTTTTTGTGTACAATAAGTATAAATAAATAAATAAAAATAAAAAAACTGTATTTACACTTAAAACACTTAAACACTTCACAAACACTTTAAGACTCTCAATTCGCTTGTTCCGCTTCGCTTCAGGTGATCCGTTCGCTGTTTCGCTTCGAGTTGTTCCGATTACTGACTGATTGCGTGCTATCTCTACAACGCTTTTATAGTCGATACCTAATCCCTAGAATTATCGAGAATATTTCAATAGATGGCTTTGTACTTCTCGAGTTTTCTAGATCCTACGATATTCGTTCCACTATTCGGCGATAGATGGCGTTACTCTTACCGGCCTAAAAATACGTTATAGATACATTTAAAATTGTATTGGATTCGACTCCCGATATGGGTGGTGGCATTGACATCGTGATATCTATGAGCTCGTGCAAGCACTAAGCCACATATTTTAATAACAATAGAAATTTGTTTATAAATATATTTTTCACAACTACGCGAACCACTATAATACCGTAAAACCATTTCTAGAACCCCTATTTTTACGAATTAGTGATTGGTAATATCTAGGGGAGGCGTCACGTAAATATGTTGTTCTCTGCTTCAGGCAACTGGCACACGGATAGGCGCATTAATGCAAGCCACAGCTACAATCGTGATAGGGATCGCCCTCTCGCTGTACTACACGTGGCAGATGACGCTAGTGTCCTTGGTCTCAGTCCCTATGGTCATTGGAGCGGTCGTGCTGGAAGGGCGGGTGCTGTCTGAAGGAATAGCCGAGGTCAGGGAGGCCTCCGACCGTGCTACAACCATTGCCACGGAGGCCATCACGAACATCAGGACGGTCTCTGCTTTCTGTGAGTATGTATTTAGTTTGTGTATCCACAGTGCTAGTGCCATATCTACTTGTGTATCTGTGATCTATGCGCGCTCGGTAAGTTAAGTTTCCGTACCACGTCACATGGTTTCTACGTTCGACAGGTAGTTTTAACAATTTCGTTGATATTTGGATCATTTTTTTATTTTTTATTGCTTAGATGACTGGACCAGCTCACAGCCCACCTGGTGTTAAGTGGTTACTGGAGCCCATAGACATCCACAACGTAAATGCGCCACCTACCTTGAGATATAAGTTCTAAGGTCTCAAATTTAGTTACAGCGACTGCCCCGCCCTTCAAGCCGAAACGCATTACTGCTTCACGGCAGAAATAGGCGGGGCGGTGGTACCTACCCGTGCGGAATATTGTTGATTAGTCGAGTAGTATTGATAAACGCGTGGTCCAGGCGGCGAGGAGGGGGCGCTGCGGCGGTACGAGGAGGCGGGGGGCGCGGCGCAACGCACTGCGCGGCGCTCGCTGCGGTGGCGCGGCGCCGTGTTCTCGTTCGGGCAGACGGCGCCCGTGGCCGGGTACGCACTGGCGCTCTGGTACGGCGGCGTGCTCGTCGCCAACCGGGAGCTGCACTACAAGTCCGTCATCAAGTGAGTTACCACTACAATCGGCTCTGGAATGAGCTTCCCTCCACGGTGTTTCCCGAGCGCTATGACATGTCCTTCTTTAAAAGAGGCTTGTGGAGAGTATTAAGCGGTAGGCAGCGGCTTGGATCTGCCCCTGGCATTGCTGAAGTCCATGAGCGACGGCAACCACTCACCATCAGGTGGGCCGTATGCTCGTCTGCCTACAAGGGCAATAAAAAAAAACAACCGTGACGTGACGTGTATGGTCAATACATATGTAAATTCTCATCCACATGTATATTTCATCACATATGTATATTGTCTATAATGTGAAAAAAAGTTTCACTTTTACTGTGGTTTCATAAAACCACACAATCATTTATCTTTTTATTGCTTAGATGGGTGGACGAGCTCACAGCCCACCTGGTGTTAAGTGGTTACTGGAGCCCATAGACATATACAACGTAAATGCGCCACCCACTTTGAGATATAAGTTCTAAGGTCTTAAGCATAGTTACAACGGCTGCCTCACCCTTCAAACCGAAACGCATTACTGCTTCACGGCAGGAATAGGCAGGGTGGTGGTACCTACCCGCGCGGACCTTAGAGATCCTACCACAAGTAAAATGGTATGGTCGAAATGAGTGGATACGTTGTAGGGTATCGGAGGCGCTAGTGTTCGGCGCGTGGATGATGGGGCAGGCGCTCGCGTTCGCCCCGAACTTCGGCGCGGCGATGAGCGCGGCCGGCCGCGTCATGACGCTGCTGCAGCGGCGGGCGCTCGTCGAGGACACGCACGCGCCCGCCCTGCACGAAAACTACGTGAGTGCTTACATTACTGGCCAACTGTAATTAATACTGGTGGTAGGACCTCTTGTGATTACTGTTGTAACTATACTGAGAACTAAGAACTTATATCTCAAGGTGGGTGGCGCATTTACGTTGTAGATGTCTATGGACTCCAGTAACCACTTAACATCAGGTGGGCTGTGAGCTCGTCCAACCATCTAAGCAATAAAAAAAAATAAAAAAAAATACAAGAAATTTATTTAATTATGTTTAAAAGATTTTTTTTCAACAGCAATTTTCTGCTATTTTATCGATTTTTTGTAATTTTATGAATGTTTGAAGGGACTATGGGCCAAATTTATTGCAGAATCAAATCAAGCAGATTAAATTACATGAAAATCTTCGTCAATCCGGGTCCACAATTTTTTTTATACCAAGTTGATCCCAATTTTCTTTGATTTTTGTAATATTTGATGATTTTTTACAAATTTTTTTTTAAATTTAAAACGGTTTATTATTAAAGTACGATTGTAATTAGTATATAACAGACCAAAATACATGAAAATTATGCTTGCCTTAGATCTCACAAATTTTTTTCTTGCCAAAACTTTGAATTTTCGTTATCTTTTGAGGTTTTTTTACAATTTACTTGAAATTGAAGGCTGGACGGCCTAAACTAACTTGAAATTCGTATTCAGCGGGTCGAAAAACATGCCTGTAGATAGGTGGCGCCCGGTGTACAGACTTTTTTTTTTTATGTGCCTGTTCAAAGTAAATCGTGCGTTATTAATGTATACCCTATACTGCCCTATACTGAAGCACTGGAATGAAGTCCATGTTGACTCAAGACCAGCCATGGTCAATGCAAAATAAATAAAATGTACTGCCTTTTTAAGATTTTGTATTACTTACACTTCATATGGAATTTAATTCTGAAATAAAATTTATTATTATTATTATTTTTTTAATTTTTACTTTCTCAGCTTGCGCTGGTAGTACTTTAGTGACATTTACGGACTCGCTCAAGTAAATGTCACGGTTTGTTGGGGTTGGCTAATTAAGTGTATTCTACTATTATATTGCATTATATGGTTGATCATCTATTTGCAGAAACCTTCCTACGATTCTGCACGTGTTTTTATTATTACTAGTGGTCGCCCGGTAGTCGAAATTCGACTATAATTAATTGAAATTAAAAGTTTGTACACTATTATGATTCTATTTTCAAAGACTTATTCTATAATCACAAATTTCGCCATAACAACACTATAGAAAAATATTAATAAAGACAAACAATATTTAATCTATTCTCAATTTGACCACAGACGTCAAGAACAAAAGTTTGACAATAAATAGTATGCATGCGTGTGTGCGTCAAATACACGGTAGTGTGTGTAATGTTTTTTTTATTGATTTAATGTATTTTTTAGGCATAATTTAAAAAAATATTAACATTGTGCACTCCTTCTTTATACTCTCTATAAGTGTGGGAAATTTCATACTCCTCCGTCCGCGCAATTTTCGTAAAAAGGGATACAAAGTTTTTCCTTCACGTATTAATATATAGATTATTATTATTATTATGAATGTAACGTGTGTTTGTCGGAAGGTGGCAGAAGGCAAGATCCAGTACAAGAACATAAAGTTCCGGTACCCGACGCGGCGCGAGGTGGAGGTGCTGGCCGGCCTGAGCCTCGCGATCCCGCGCGGGGTGCGCGCCGCGCTCGTGGGGCCCAGCGGCTGCGGCAAGTCCACGCTCATACAGCTGCTGCAGCGGCTCTACGACCCGGACGACGGGAACGTAGTGAGTATACCTTATTTTTTTCATGCCACTTCAAATCACTCGCGTTCAATCTAGATTCAAAGCTATTAGGTACTTAGGTAGTAGTAGTAGTAGCTAGTATTTAGGAGGCATCGCGCTTACAGTAAAATATGCTACTTAAATTTGTTCAGGGACTACCCACCCCCTCGACCTCTATCCACAAACTTGGATAGGGTAGGTTTTTTTACTTTATTTCCTAGATGGATGGACGAGCTCACAGCCCACCTGGTGTTAAGTGGTTACTGAAGCTCATAGACATTCACAACGTAAATGCGCCACACACCTTGAGATATAAGTTCTAAGGCCTCAAGTATAGTTACAACGGCTGCCCCGCCCTTCAAACCGAAACGCATTACTGCTTCACGGTAGAAATAGGCAGGGCGGTGGTACCTACCCGTGCGGACTCACAAGAGGTCCTACCATCAGTAATTACGCAAATTATAATTTTGCGGGTTTGATTTTTATTACACGTTGTTATTCCTTCACCGTGGAAGTCAATCGTGAACATTTGTTGAGTGCGTATTTCATTACAAAAATTGGTACCCGCCTGAGATTCTAACACCGGTACATCGCTTAACACGAATGCACCGGACGTCTTATCCTTTAGGCCACGACGACTTCATACCTCTGTATACGGCTTCATCCTCTGTTGCTTCGGTTTATTGATCCATACCATAAACATTTATGCTTAGAACTAACAAGCGGATCTATTGATTTTTGTAGCAATTGCATAAGCATCGTTTATTGTACAGATTGCAAATTAAAATAATAAATAATAAATTAATACTACTTGTGGTAGAACGTCTTGTGAGTCTACACAGGTAAGCACCACCACCCTGTTTATTTCTGTCGTGAAGCAGTAATGCGTTTTGAAGGTTAAGGCAGCCGTTGCTTTGTAAAAACTGAGACTTGGATCTCTTGTCTCAATGTAGGTAGCTCCACAGCACTGGGTGGGCCGTGAGCTCATCAAAGCCTTAAAACCAAATGTTTGTTTTGTTCACAGTACTTGGACAACTACAGTATTACATCGGATAACCATCAAAACAATAAAATCAAATATTTTTCTGTTCACAGTACTTGGATAATTATAGCATTATATCGGACAAGCATCAAAACAATAAAACTAAATGATTTTTCTGTTGACAGTACCTGGACGACTACAGCATTACATCGGACATGCGCTTGTCGACGCTGCGGCGGAACCTGGGCATAGTCTCCCAGGAGCCGGTGCTATTCGACCGGACCATCGCCGACAACATCGCGTACGGCGACAACACCAGAGACGTGCCCATCGAGGAAATTGTCAAAGCGGCTAAAGAGGCGAACGTTCATACCTTTATATCCGCTCTGCCGAATGTAAGTATCAATAGAACGGTTATATTTTTGCTTAGATGTGTGAACGAGCTCACAGCCCACCTGGTGTTAAGTGGTTACTGGAGCCCATAGACATCTACGACGTAAATGCGCCACTCACCAAATGAGATATAAGTTCTAAGGTCTCAAGTATAGTTACAACGGCTGCCCCACCCTTCAAACCGAAACGCATTACTGCTTCGCGGCAGAAGTAGGCAGGGTGGTGGTACCTACCCGTCCGGACTCACAAAAGGTCTTACCACCAGTCTTTTGTTGTTGTAGTTGTAGTCTTAGGGTACCTCGCTAGTACATAGGGCCCTCAAAAGTTGTCTCCACTTGACCCTGTCTCGCGCTTGCTCTTTGACATCACTCCAAGTCGTCAAGTGCGTGAGGACCAGGTCTTCTGCCAAGCGGACGTTTAGTACCATTAATTGTTATTATTTCTAACGTGAGATAAATACATTAAAATCAGGCTAAATTGGTGCAGTTGCCAATAATTTCACACTGGTTTGTCGTTACGAAGCTGCTTTTTTCTTTACCTAATCGTTAGTAGCTTAAGAGTCTAATCCAGCTACACGTAGACGGGTATGTGAGCTCACGTGCTCAACCTGAGAGATTTTTTTAAAACTAACCCAAGCAAGAGCTGTGCTTCGCCTAATCTACCACCAGATCGGAATCGCGACCCTCTGAGATGATCTAGCTAGAAACAGAGCGGGTTAAACTTGCAAAGTTGCCAGTTTTTTGTGCCCAGCTTTTTTTTTTCCTACCTAAACTGATAGCCTTGAGAGGCTACTTCAGCGTAACTTTAACTAGTAGGTGAGCTCACGGGGCTCAAACCTGACGACGTTGCGAACACGAACCCTAGCAAGAGCCGTGCTTCGCAGAATCTACCACCGGATCGGAAACGCGACTCACTGAGAAGATTCGGCGAGAAACTCAGTGGGCTGTGTCTGTGGGTTAATTTACTCGTCGAGCCCTTCGTCGCAAGCGACGAGTTCGACCAGAACGATGACCGGGGGCATGCCCTGCCCTAATCGGGCCCCGCCTCGACAATAACCCAGTTCAAATTAGTTTTCCGGCATCGATCACGAGATCTTACGTGTAATTCTGTGGTCTGACCGTGAGTCCGGTATCAGGGCTACGACACGCGACTGGGGGCTCGCGCGTCGCAGCTGTCGGGGGGACAGAAGCAGCGCATCGCCATCGCGCGAGCGCTCGTGCGGAACCCGCGCGTGTTACTGCTCGACGAGGCGACATCAGCACTCGACACTCACAGCGAAAAGGTAATATTCCAGCCATTACTTCACTATACCATATTAAATTTATGGTGTTTATGGTTAAAATACCATATTACTGATGGTAGGACCTCTTGTGAGTCCGCGCGAGTAGGTACCACCAAGAGAAGAGAATGCAAGAGAAATTGTCAAATAAGCTGAATATCATAGAACTTAAAAGCGCAAGTTTTTTTACATTTCAAAAAATATCTTATTAAATTTTTTAGATTTATTTTTTCTCCCACCATAGCTGTTAAGTGGTTACCGGAAACCCATAAACATTCTCGCTGTAAATGCCGCCACTTACCTTGAGATATGATTTTTTATTTATTTTTTATAGCTTAAATGGGTGGACGAGCTCACAGCCCACCTGGTGTTAAATGGTTACTGAAGCCCATAGACATCTACAATGTAAATGCGCCAACGGATGCCCCGCCCTTCAAACCGAAACGCATTACTGCTTTTCACGGCAGAAATAGGCAGGGCGGTGGTACCTATCCGCGCGGACTCACAAGAGGTCATACCACCAGTAAATTTCGTCTTTATTCTAGATTCGAATGACCAAATCTCTTCCCTCTCGATTAGGTGGTCCAAGAAGCACTGGACAAGGCCAGCGAAGGCCGCACGTGCCTCATCATAGCTCACCGTCTGTCGACGATACAGAACGCGGATATTATCTGCGTCATCGATAAAGGGGTGGTCGCCGAAACCGGGACGCATCGCGAACTGATCAAGAGAAAGGGAATTTACGCCAAGCTGTACGAGCTGCAGTGCGGCTTCGTCGAGGAAAGCGAAGAGAATCTGCATAACGAATAGAGGGGAATGAATTAAACATTGGGAACTACGTAACGAACAATGTAGGGTAGTCGAAAAATTTTTGTTAACCAAAAAAGAATAATTCGCGAAGTAATTCTCGAATAGTATAGATAAATAGAGGGGAATGAATGAAACATTGGAAACTACGTAACGAACAATGTAGGGTAGTTGAAATTTTTTTGCTAACCAAAAAGAATCATTCGCGAAGTAATTCTCGAATACTATAAATAGATAAATTTTTTATACGGATAATAAACGTTGCAGACAAAATAATATGCATTTAGCATATCAATAAATGAATATCCGCAATTACTTTCGGCTATTAGTGAAATTATATAATTAAAATATACTAACTTAAATAAATAAATATAGATCGAATTATAACCCCTAATAGTTATTATAAAATGTTTGATTCTAAGCTGAAGGTAGTTCTCAATTTTTTTACGAAGACTTGGTAGCACAGCTGTCTTCTCAAACTAATGTATAATATAACAAATTCGAATGAAAAACTTTGTTTACTATTCTACGCAATGTAACGCAATAAGAATCAGCTGATGTGCGGGTTCAATGATCTCGTGTGATCCGGGGAGTACCTGCGTATCTTGCAAGTTCACGAAATATGAACTAGATCAAACAATACATATTGAGCTTAGTTTAGTATTGTTTTTCGTTTATTTTTAAATCTATCGATGTATGCACGGTTTTGTGAACTTTTATTGCGTTAGTTATGTAGACATTGTGAGCTCGCACGGGTAGGCACCATCATCCTGCCTGTTTTTACCGAGAAGCTGTAATGCGTTCCAATTTGAAGGATGGGACAGTCGCTATTAAGACTTGAGCCTCATGTCTCAAGGCTGGTGGGGGCGCACACGTTGTAGTGGGGTGATATCGGTTATAATTACCATAGCGCCCTCTAGTAAGCGCGCGGTCAAAATGGAATAGGTAAAAATGTAAAAGATTATTTGAAAGTGTTGAGGAGCTTAGATCCAGTGTGCTTAGTGCGAGTTTTTTAACGTTCTCGATAGCGTAAAAGTTAACTCAAATTTGTATGGAGTGGGAACGTTTGCCTACGCTTACCGTTAGGGGCGCTGTTCCAACTGCATACAAACTTGAGTTATCCTTTACGCTATCATGGACGTTAAAAAACTAGCACTAAGCACACTGTACCATGGATAAAGTCGCCGCTTTCGTACACTTTAGACCGTAATGTGTTAATATGGGTCGTTAGTAAAACGCATGGAGGTGTGCCTAACCACGCGTGCTTACAATGCACTCCACTCCACCTCAAGTTAAATACTTCGGAATACTTCGGAAAGAGTTGCCTTATGCTCTGTATAGATGGTGCTGTTATCAGTTTTTAAGTATTGGTGAAGAAAGCGAGATTTAAGCAGATAGATTGCAACGTGAAGTTGTGATTTTTATTTATTACAAATAGCATTTTACCTTGCTCTACCTATTTAAAGAAATGTTAGTCAATATCTATTTATATGTACGTAAGAAGAATGAGGCACTAACAATTATTTTTTGCAAAAATTGCCTTTTTGCAGATGATATTATGTGTATAGTTTTTTTTTGGTTTGTGAAGTTGAATCCTAAACTATAATTTTTAGATCAATAATTTTAATCTTGAAAAAAGTCACTTATGTATTTTGCAAATATGTATAATACATACAATGTTAATATTAATTAGAACCAATTTTCTATGTATAATTTGATAAGATGAAATCCAAGCTATATGACATCAATTTCGTCAAGACGTCTTGATGTTAAAACCAGTTTCACCATTAAGTTATTAACCGATAATCTAACAGTTTATTGATGCAACGAAATAAATTAAAAAAACTATTGTTAATTAATTAGTCGTTAACTTATGTAATATATTAGTAAACCATACATTCCCGGTACCTCTCCTATACATTCCCTAGTAAAGACCTGTTAGGAAACACATTAACATAAATATAACCTAACCTTTTCTGATGCTAATCCCGTATAATGCATAAACTTTTAATTGTTATAAATACTTTTTAATTAAATATTAATATAAATAAATATAAATATTTACTAACAATCACGCCACGTTAACTGGTCCCGTGCTAAGTTCGTAAAGAAGTTGTGTTACAGGTACCAGATAACGGATATAAATGTAATGTTTTTATTATACACATACATATATTTAATATACATCCATAACCCTGGAAAAGACATTTATATTTATCATACAAATATCTTCCCTTGGCGGAATTCGAACCCGCGACCCCCTTGTGTAGTGACCATGTCACTTACCACTACACCAGACGGCCGTTTAATTTGTTGTCTCGTCTTTGTCGTTTATTGTCTCGAATCCCGATTCTTTTTTATAAATTTTAGATTTAGATTATCAAGTGTGCTGGATTGAGCATTAGCCTAGTAAATGCCCTGTCAAATTATAATAAAACTTTCGATACCATGTGGTAGTGTCGGAGAGGAACATAGTATCTCAGCCGGTAACATCCAAAATCGTGCTAGAAAGTGGTCGAGTTATTTTCTCCACTGTTCACCCGAGGTGCTTAAGAGAGCACTAAAATATCGGAGAGTGTAAATCTGTACAAGTGAAAAACGTGTTTAAAAAATTTATATATATAACCTCGGATGTATAATACAATTCGCTTCGTAATAATTTATTTTTAATTGTATTGTACTAATTACATATATTGTGTTCTAATTATATTTATAGACGCTCTAATTTAGGAATAATGTATTAAAAAAATTTAAAACAGGTGTTGTTAATTAATTATAAGACACTTTAAACTAGTATTTTTTAAATGATAATTAATTAAATAAATAGCTTGTGTGAATAGTGACGTTTTATGTACAATATTTATTCATTCTTAATAAAAAAAATAGTTTTTATTACGTGTCTAGTGGTGAATCTCGGGAGTTCTACTAAATTGGGTAATGGACTAGTGGATAGCCTACTTTATACCTAGAATATCATTGTGGTCTATCATTGACATTAATATATTTAGAACGTTAATAAGGGTTTCAAAAATAACCACTCAGACAGCGACGACACCCCACTCTCCCCCGTGAAGGGGATCGAACGATCATCGAAGGCTGATGGTACAACTACCATCGCCAGCCTCACGCTCAGGGTATCGCGCCACGCCTCCTCATCGTGGTTGTCGATCATTCACGTAGTGTGAAGTTCTCGGTAAGAGCTTACTATAGAAATGATCCTATGAAGTAAGGTCTTGATGAATTTCGGCGCGCCAAAGTCCTCATACAACAATTGAGAAACTCGTCATCGCGATTCAGAATTTGCTTCAATATCGGTCAGCGACATCTATTGACGACAATGTAAGCCATAGTCTACACGTGCTTGTTACTGTCAAATATTGAGGTTAAATATGGGCGAGAGCCTGAGACGTCACACCAATAATACGACTTGTTATGACCTTGAGATGATTGTGTGGAACGATCATATTGAACGTTTTACTGTCCTGAGCTCGAAATTATATATTTAAAAAGATATCTTTATATATTTACTAGCGGTACGTAATGTTCACGATTGTCTTCCACGGTGAAGGAATAACATCGTGTAATAAAAATCACACCCGAAAAATTATAATTTGCGTAATTACTGGTGGTAAGACCTGTTGTGAGTCCGCACGGATAAATACCACCACCCTGCCTATTTCTGCCGTAAACCAATATTGCGTTTCGGTTTGAAGGGTGGGGCAGCTCTTGGTTATAAAAACTAAGGCTTAGTTTGCATGTCTCTAGGTGGGTGGCGGCATATACGTTTTTGACGATGATAATTTTAGATGAGCTCCGATAACCGCTTAACACCAGGTGGGCCACGAGCTCGTCCACCCAAGCAAAAAAAGTGATATTATTGTGAACAAAATCCGGGTTTTTACTCAACAGTCTAAGATCAGATTCGAAATCCTTGGGTAATTAAGTTAATGGAGAAATAAAAAATAATCAAATTTTTCACTAATTACATTGTAAATATATTAGGCCTGGTCTTACCAGATTTACGATATCTTCCTTATCAAAATCTTTCACGTTATTTGATCGACATTTTCTAAAGCGCTATACTTATTTCGATTCCTACAAGTCACAAGGCCGAGGGTTTGTGCATAAACGCCTTTTTTATTGCCCTTACGAGCATACGGACCACCTGATGATGAGTGATTACCGTCGCCCATGGACGTCAGCAGTATCAGAAGCAGAGCCAGGCCGCTGCCTACCGTGTAATACTCTCCACAAGCCTCGTTTGAAGAGGACATGTTATAGCGCTCGGAAAACACCGCGGAGGGGAGCTCATTCTAAAGCCGGATGGTACGTGGCAAAAAAAATGTGGATAAACGCAGTGGTTCTAGCTAGTATGGATAAACTCCGGTGGCGGGCGGTGCGATGGTAAAAACATGCAGACACCTTTTTTATTCCAGACTAGGTCTACTTGACAGTGAGCGAGTAGAGTGGCTCATGGACATCAGCAATGCGAAAGGCAGAGACAAGCGGCTGCCTAACGCGTACACAAAAGTAACAATAATTCTTAGTTACTGATGATAGGGCCGCCCGGGTAGGTGTAATTGCCCTGCCTCTTTTCAGTGCGAAGCAATCATGCGTTTCAGTTTGAAGGGCGGAACAGCCGTTACCTAATATAATTGGGACTTTGGCTCTCATGTCTCAAGGTGAGTGACTCCATTCACATTGCAATACCAGTGTGCTCCCCACTTAACGCCAGGTGGGTTAAGTGGAGCGTGGGCAACGTGCGTTTTTGATGGTTTTCGTAACGAAGCACGGAACTATTACTGGTTGTAGGACCTCTTGTGAGTCCACGCGGGTAGGTACCACCACTCTGCCTATTTCTCCCGTGAAGCAGTAATGCGTTTCGGTTTGAAGGGTGGGGCAGCTGTTGTAACTATATTTGAAACCTTCGAACTTATATCTCAAGGTGGATGGCGCATTTACATTGTAGATGTCTATGGGCTCCAGTAACCACTTAACACCAGATGGGCTGTGAGCTCGTCCATCCACCTAAGCAATAAAAGAAAGGTGCCCCATGAAGATGACCAACTTCAAACAAATCATCACACTTGCAACAATAGCCATCTTTCTAACCTGTTTAATTTTGATCCACTAACGTTCACACTAGTATCTAATCTATATACTTTTGTAGGCTTATATCAAGTTCTTAAAAAGTATTTTCTGGCTATTAGTGGATACCATTAATATGAAATATTTTAAGTCTTATACAACTTTATAACAAATATAAGAAGATCCAGAAGAAATCCTCTAAATCGCTTGACATGAAAAACTGAATGACTTGAAAAATAAAACAATCTTTTTAAATACCACATTTATTATTTACAATTGTGATGTTTACATTACCTAAGTCGAAGGTAACATATTGTGTTGCCGTTACAAAAATAAATAATTTCTACCAAAGGTATTGCCATATAAATGCCACAGTTAAAAAAAATAACAAAAGTGTAATTTTTTTTTTAACATTGTAACTATACTGTGTATGATGTAAATATAATCTATATTGAGGTTTTAGTGATTGCGAGGTTGGACCTCAAGGTGTTTGAGCGGGGCAGCCGGGTGGATGCCACGGACGAAGGGTTCCAAATTCTTGTAGTATATATCGGCGGACAACTCTTCAATACCGACTTCCGGTTCCGTCTTCGATTGTTTAGTGGCCTCGTCTACTTCTTTACGTACCTTGGCGTCGATATCCTGTCAATGAATTTAGAATCAGACTTACTGTATCTTTCATTAACAGTTTAAGCAGAAACATCGAGATTTTTTTTCTTTGTAATGCTATGTATCAAAAGCTATAGCTAAAATTACTTTAGCTTTATATGACTTGATATTTAATGAGAAGTAGTTTATTTTATTAGTGAAGGTTTTTTTTCTAAATCTTTAATAACCCGAACAAGGTTGTCAGAGAAAAATTCTCCCTAAAAATGTGAATTTCTCCCTAAAAATTTGTGACAATACTGGCGGAGCTCTCACCTTGAGCTGATCGGGCGTGACGAGCTCGTGATTCAAGATCTTCTCCTTGAACGAAGTGATGGGGTCCCTGGTCTGCCTCACCTCCTGTACCTCGTCCCTCGTCCGATACGACGTACCAGGGTCCGACATCGAATGACCAGAGTAACGGTACGTCTCCATCTCCATCACCAAAGGACCTGGTGATTGATTTTGTTCATAGTTACACGTTCAAATGGTACCGCTGACCGGATGAGAAGGTCGAGCACAAACTGATAGTCCCTAGCTCTATATAGCGCCAGTTCCAGTTTTGCATTCAGTAAGCTTCATCATTATCCTGCCCTTCTCCCAGTCACCCGGGGTCGGCGCAACATGTTTTCTCCTTCCATACTCTTCTACATTATACCATTTCTTCGCTCACTCCCTTCTTACCAATATCGTCTTTCACGCAATCCATCCATTTCTTCTTAGGTCTACCTCTTCCTCTATATCCTTCCACATTCATAGTTAACATTCTCTTACCAACCTCATTTTCATTTCGTCTCATCACATGTTCATACCATCCCAAACGCGCACTTCTCAGCTTCTGTCACAGGTGCCACTTTCAGACTTCCTCTTAACATATTCATTCCGTATTCTATCCATTTTCGCCTTTCATCCGCCAGTTTAGTAAACTTCATCATATTTATTTTTAAATTCTGACAAAATAAATAACCAAGATAATTATTACAAGACCTTTTAGTCTGTGACCATTCAAATCAGCAAATATTTGTAACGGCAATATAGGTACTGTAAAAAGTGTTTCTAATCTCCAATTGATATTCTTGTATCTATTTGGGTAAACGAGCATCACAAGGAGAATGCCATTACCGACTTTAAGATATGAGGGCATAGACTCAATTAAAAATCAAACCTTTGTTCCACTTTTCAAACCGAAACGCATGACTGCTACGCAGCATGAAGACATGACGGTGGTATCCGAGCGACTCTACTACTACGTCATTACGGATCCTCCCGATCCATTAGCGGTGCTTTTAGGTACCTCAAGCACCGGTTACCGTCTTCACCGAACCCGTCGCTTGCGACGAAGGGCTCGACGAGTAAATTAACTCATGGACATCCCACTGAGTTTCTCGCCGGATCTTCTCAGTGGGTCGCGTTTCCGATCTGGTGGTAGATTCTGCGAAGCACTGCTCTTACTAGGGCCAGTGTTAGCAACACTCCCGGTTTGAGCCCCGTGAGCTCACCTACACGTTAGGGTGAAGCTGAAATTGCCTCTTTAGGCCATCAGCATAGGTAAGAAAAAAACCCAGTGATTACGCAATTCTCGAAATTTGGCGAATTTATTTTTGTAATATTATTTTATTCCATCGTGGTGGAAGTCGTTTTCACACGTACAAGTACGTATTTCATTGCAAAAATATGTACCCGCTTGCGGGATTCGAACACCGGCACTGTCGCATCGCTCGATACGACTGCACCGGACGTCTTATCCTTTAGGCCACGACGCGTTCAAACCTAAGTCCTGAGTTCATCTACGCCATGCATAAAATAATTGAACAAAAATTTTATGATCATTCTCATCATTCGTCCAAATACTTTTACATTTCATTAATGCGATATTTTATGAATCAATTTTACTACTTCGCTTATCGCTCATTCTATGATCTCTATAATACGTCCGCTAAACAAGATCATGTGTAATCTTAACGTGATTTTCTGATAAAACTACATTATCTTTACGCATTACAGTATAAAAATATTACAGTAACTTTACAGACCGATACGCGGTACATTTTTGTACATTGTCATGAAATATTTACTATCAACAAAATCTATTATATTAGTGTTGCCATTAATGACAAAATAAATGGAGAGTTGTCAATTTAGAAGGCCATTTTTTTACATTAACCTGAAAAAAACTTTCGTTATTATGACTGTCTGTGATTCCTCCTGGTGTCACAAGGAAAACAGGATTGATGAGACCACTATTTTAAACTACAACCTCATGTCTCAAGGTACATAGGCCCCATTGACCACACAAAGACGATCCCGAGCTAAAAGCTGATAAGTTCTGAAATCTAATTAAAATTCCTGACGTAGCTTCGCGGGTTATTCCAAAAACAGCCTATTGAGGTCTAAGTAAATTCCCACAATTTTACCGATTTCATCTCATCTTGTTTCATCAAAAATTGATTACAATCTCAAATTAATCAACTTCATTTAACTCCGATCATCTTTTCTTCTTCTTTTTCTCCACCTTATTCCTCTAGGTAGGGTCGACACGGCAAATTTTTCTATTCCATTCTCTTTTATCAGCCGTCATCTCAACACTCACTACTCCCTCTCTCATATCGTCATTCACACACTCTACCCATGTCTTCTTCGGTCGACCTCTTCCCCTCTACTTGCACTACCAATTCCATACATCTCCTAGTCACATGCATCTTGTCTCTACGCATCACATGTCCATAACACGCTAACCGTCCGCTCTTTAATTTATCAATTACTGGGGCTACTTAATATTTTTCATATAACAGAAAATTAATATATTAATAATAGAATCTATACTAATATATAAATCTACTGTGGTTTTTACGGATGTTCCGTTATAACTACTGAACCATGAATCCGATTGACTTGAAACTTGGTATCCATGTAGAAAATATATGTACTTAATGGATAGGCTAATATTTATATGAGTTGGACTCCCTACACCAGTTGCGGGGGCGTTAATGATGAGAATCTTGTGGGGGTGAGAAACAATAATATTAATTTTAAATACTCGGCGAAGCGGACGGGTACAGCTAGTGCTTTTATAAACTCGATACTGGCAACACCGGAATCGCGACAAGCCCAGTTGCCATACTGAAAAAAAAGAGCGTTTCTGTTAGGTATGTATCGCTATCCCTCGGCCGTTAGCAACGTACCTTTCCCTGCGTTGCAGTACTCGATGGCGAACCTGGCCGCCTCCCTGGTGGCCAGCACGTCCATGCCGTCCACCCACACGCCGGGCACGTAGTCCCCGCGCGTGTAGTACTCCGTGCTCGCCGACGAACGGTCCACGCTCGTGCCCATGCCTGGCGACGCAATAACAACCACAAGCATTACATTTTTTTATTTATTGCTTAGATCGGTCTTTCCCGAAGTGGGCGATAGCGCCCCCCTGTGGGCGCTGCAGACCTAAAGGGGGGCGGTAAGAGACCCAGAAAAATAGTGGGGGCATTGTCTAGAGTTTTGGGAGGCGATTTGTAATGTCATTTAGGAGAACTCTTACTCTTAACTGAGCTCTCGCTATGGTGGTTTTTCAGTAGATGAAAAATGGGAGCGATAAAAATGAATTTATTCTCAAAGTGGGCAGTAGACAAAATAAGTTTGGGAGCCCCTGGCTTAGATGGTTGTACGATCTCACAGCCCACCTGGTGTTAACTGTTAACTGTTGGTAGGTACCTCTTGTAAGTCCGCACGGGTAGGTAATAATAATAATAATAATAATAATAAAGGTGGGCTGTGAGCTCGTCCACCCATCTAAGCAATAAAAAAAGTCATAAGTCAAGCTTAGTCTAAGGACTATTATTATGTGAGGCGACGGTGACAACTACAATTAGTGTTACCGTATGCTCATCTGCTTACAGTGCCAAAAAAAAAACTTAATTATTAAGTTCGACAAATATACATTCATTTTCGAAAACGATCATTTACACTCTTATGACGTCATATCGGACCGAAATCTTTATAAAAATGAATTGCCGTTCGTTAGTCTCCCTAAAACTCGAGAACGGCTGGACCGATTTGGCTGATTTTGATCTTGAATTATTTGTGGAAGTCCAGAGAAGGTTTATAAAGGTAGATAAATATGAAAATGCTCAGAATTAAATAAAAAAATAACAATTTTGTTTTCCCTTTGATGTCCCCCCCATCGGACGGATTCCTTTTGATTGCTTTAAGTTTATTTTATACAAAAGTTTAGGTCTTTTATTTATCGATTGAGGAACTACGAAGTCTGCCGGGTCAGCTAGTATTATGTAAATCCGCTCTCACCGTATCCGTTGTTCTCGCAAACGAAGACGCAAGGCAAGTCCCATAGTTTAGACATGTTGTAGGCTTCGAAGAGTTGACCCTGGTTGGCGGCTCCGTCTCCGTACAGAGCGAACGTGACTCCGCCGTCGGCGCGGTACTTGTGGGCGAAGGCCACTCCGGCTCCCAACGGGACCTGTACATTTCAGTAATGACTAACATTAAAATAAAATTTCGCTTATATCTATATTGCTTCTAGATGCATTTAAATTTGAGATCACTTTTACGCTATCGAGAACGTCAAAAAACTCGCACTGAGCTATGGCAGTACCCACAAATACAAAGTTCATACAAAGCCCTACCTACCCTCGTAGTGATTTTAAACATATAATCATACTTTTTTATAGATCACAGAGTATAACGGTGTGTTCTATTTTGAAACTGAATCTTTTTTTTTTTTTATTGCCTTTGTAGTCAGACGAGCATACGGTCCACCTGATGGTGAGTGGTTACCGTCGCCCATGGACTTCAGCAATGCCAGGGGCAGAGCCAAGCCGCTGCCTACCACTACATAGTATAAAACAAAGTCGCTTTCTCTGTCCCTATATCCCTATGTATGCTTAAATCTTTAAAACTACGCAACGGATTTTATGTATAATACGTTTATATTTATAATAACATCCATTAAATAGTGGAGAAATCAATAATAAATTACAATTTCCGAAGCGAAGCGAGGGCGGGTCGCTACTGAACAATGAAATGAGAAATTAGAGATGAAACTATATTTTTATTAGGACTAACCTGCGCACCAACAATCCCGTTGCCACCATAGAAGTTGCGTCCGTACAAATGCATGGAACCTCCCTTGCCCCGGGAGCAACCGGTCCTGCGCCCCGTCAGCTCCGAGAGCACCCCCAGCACACTAACACCCATGAGATAAGTCCATCCGTGACAACGATACGCGGTGATCACTGAGTCTGCATCGCGCATCGCTGCTCTCATACCTACTGCCACGGCTTCTTGTCCTGATGAAGATGATTAAAGACTTGGAGTGGAACCGTAGATTTAAATGTCTGTTACTATTGTCTTTTTACATAATGTAAGGTAAATAAGTCAAGAACAATTCCCCCTAAAGCCACAATATCTAGTGGTAAGATATATCTGATATCGTATTTAAACAAGTTTTTCATGAACTTGGTATGTTTTGTTTGTATGTAAAGAAATCATTGAACGCCATTATCTCGGATTTCATGACGTCTGATTAACTTGAAAATTTTGCAATAATGACAGTTCAATAATTTTATAACTTTGTTCTAATATCAACTGTATCAACTGACTGTTCTTCCTCTTCTATTTAAAATCAAGAAACATAGTAGGATTTTTCTTTTTATTTCCACTAATATTCATACCTGAATACAGGTGACAGAAACCACGGATGATCTTTTCTTTATATAGGTTTCCTGATGCGGTTTCAATCCTCCGCAATATCGTCAGTTGTTCATACAGCTTAAGAGCATCTTCAGAAGTGAGTGTGGCTGATGTTGCAGGGCCCTGATCCAATTTATGGAGTTTGTAGGGCTGCAACGAATAAAGTAGTTTTAATGGTTTTAATCATACATAAGGGCCAACAGCGGGTTCTACTCCGGTCATTGTTCTAAAGTAAATTAACTCACAGACACAGCCCACTGAGTTTATGGCCGGATCTTCTCAGTGAGTCGCGTTTTGGACTACTAGCCCGGTGACTCTGAGATGGTCTCTCTAGACCATCAGCTTAGGTAGGAAAAAAAGGGTTCTACTTGACACTGAATAAGTGTGACCGTCCAACACAAAATAAATGCACTTAATTACACAAAAACAATAAAATTACTTTGTGTTTTATGGAAAAAAATACTAAGCGATTAATTCGAAACACTAACGCCTTTACTACTCATGGGTGCTCCAACACCCAGTACTTGTACAGCTACTTTCTGCATAAGAAACTTTTTGACAACTAATGAAATGCGACTAGCATGCAAATACAATAAAATAGACGAAAAACAACGTTTTTTGGTTCATTTAAATGTATGACTGTACTTAAATAAGGTTCTAGGTTTAAAAGTCATAATATTAAAATTCTTAATTAAAGCATTGCTTATTTAATTGAGAGATTCAATATTCTGGATCATAATTCTTGAAACATTTGCAGCAAATGATACTGCACAACTAAATAAGTTCCGTACGTCATTCGACAGGAAAACAATGTTAAACTTGACACTTGAAGGTTATATTACATAATTTAAAACAAAACTCGGAATTAATGTTTCAAAGTGCCACTGTAATATTAATTAATAAATAATAATAATTATCGAGATTAGTAATTTTTTTAAAAGCATTATTTTCCTTTACCTTGATTTCGAATGTCGCCTCTTTTTTCGTGCTGTATTTTGCGTTTGTCGCTACAACCGGTGCAGTCACTTTCTGAACAGAAAAATACACTTAAAAATTTAAAACGAATTTTGCGTAACACTGCCTAGGACATCCAGTTAAAATTCTTAAGCAGTTTACGAAGTTAAGGTACATACTTATTATTTGTACTGACCGTGATTGTGTTTCCGGCTAAAAACTTAGCGGCTGAGGGAATTAATTTACTCATTTTATCTATTATTATTTCTATAAAACCCAGATTTATCTAGTGATCCTTCTGAAGGACCACACTTAATAATTACTATTGCCAAAATTTATCGAGGTACATAAAATCACAAGAGAAACTACACGTCTTTCAGCCCTTCAGCCGCTAGACAGATTTAGGTCGCTTAAATTACTGACGTTTCACTTGTCCGATACCGTGACAGTGACATTGAGTTATTAGTTGCCAACATTAATTTTTTTTATTTGCCTATCTAACGGAGGCATAACATACATAAACTAAGCAACCAAAACTATTGTAATTAAAATCAAGGCCATATCTTTGATAGGAAAATTAAAAAAGAATGTGGGAAATGAAGTTTAAACAGGAGAAATAAATAACAATATAGGTGCTAACAATAATGAAATGAAATATTTTCTTCGTAAATAGTAAAATCTAGACGGACTTAAGAATTCGAGAAGTCAGGACCAGCGATTTTGCTTTGGAATTATGTACAATCCTAAATATTAAAAGTTAACAAGACATCATTATTCATAGTTTAAATCCGAACAAAAATGGGAATAAAAAAATGAATAAAATCAAACTGAACAGAATAAAAAAACGAGGTAACTATTTAGTTTATCGACTGATGAACGTCTTGGTACTGTTTGTTCAAAGGGTACCGCCTTCCCAAGCGCTGCGAGTAACATTTTCAAACCAACAAGGACACTTGCCACTGGCTGCTTTATAGTAATTGTATTCCGCCTCGCACCGCCGCGCCGTTGGTGATAGACAGTTCGATACTTAGTCTACGGACACGAAACTTGCGATGGCCGAGCGATGGCGACAGCGGCGCGACGGCGATGTATACAAAAGCATTGCACAGTATGGGGACGGGCACGAAACGGGCGATGGCGGAGCGGGGCAATCGAGCGATGTACGGGCGATGATGGGGCGACGGCGACGCGGAAGCGACGAGAACAAACTACTTTGGTTTCGTCGCTTGCGCGGGTACACAGTGTTGTGTTCAGTTATTATTTTAGTAATGGAAATTGATAATGAGGAATTTATAATTTAACAAGGAATTTAAAATTTCATTGAATGACACCTTAGCTCGTAATAAAGCGTAGAAAATTCTCCCAAATTGCGTCTTCGTTGATTTATTGGATGAACACCATCTCTAGGTAATAATAATTCTCTCAATAGGAGACTAGGCTCCAATAGTTCTCTTCGACGTAAACTCATGATTCGCACAACACTGCTCAAGCGCGACTGCCCGCCAGCTTGTTTCGTGCCCGCGCGAGATATCGCTGCCTACCCGCTCCGTGTCGCGTCGCCCCGCTGCCGCCATCGCTC